GATCTACAACATTAACCTAAATTTTATGGTGAAGAATTCAATACCAATTAATGATAAGCAAAAGGTGGATCAGGTTTTTTGTTATTATTTTCTTGTACAAAATTATATTGTGTTGATAGATCGACCACCTAGGTTACTTGTTATAGGTATATTTAGTTATGCAAAAAATTTCACTTGAGTCTTTACCTCTTGACAATAGGGCCTCTGACTTTGTATGTTATATATTCGGAAAAGCATAATCATCATTGCTGGTGGCTCAGTACTTTGGCTTGGGTGATTATTCAGTCTGCAAAAAAATAGACAAAGTAAACTTATTCTGTTTATATAAAATATAAAATTTAATATTAATTTTTTTCTTTTGCCTCTTAATCAACTACAACAACTGGCTTCGAATAATAAAATCACAAGGTAGTATTGTGATCTCAAGAATAGTATTAGGAAAACAGTGAACAACTATTAAAAAAATCGAATACATAACCCAATAATAAATATATATGAATAGGTTATAAAGATAAATAAATTTATACTATTATTTAATCAAAGGATATTAAGTCTATCTCCTTTGCATTTTTTCACACAGAATTAAAATATGCATCAGCAACATGGCCCAAACTAGTCTTGCTAAAAATATTAGGCATATTTAATTGATCGCTTCAAAAATTTTTAATCTCAGGTATACTTACACTATGTTTACAAGAGTATTTTGAGAGATACCTATTAATGCAAAAGGCTTTGGCAGTAATGGCAGAGGAGTCAATAAATGTGGCTCATTAATCAAACTAGATGTAAAGCTTTTAATTTTCATAGACTCAATTGGTACAATATCTTGATAAGCATTTTGGATAACCCGTGTACTTCTATTTTGGGTTTCAGTTTTGAAGTATTCATTATTCCAATGATTTTGTATAAAGTCTTTAGATTTAATCTCATAACTCCATCTATAACATCCCTCCAAATATACCTTTTTTGGTTCTACTTCAGTAATCTTTACTAATTGCCAGCATTTGAAGCATATAGCTATCTGACTTTTATAAACTTTAGATCTTTGATAGCTAATATGTTCAACTCTTGGTCTATGGTTTTCAAGATAAGTTCTAATGTTTCCTTCTCTAAAAAAAGCAAAAAGACAATATATGTAATAAATACTAGATCTTTCTCTAGAAAGTAACTCTTTCAAATCATCTTTTATATGAATAGCCTACTGTTGAAGTGTTTTACAGGGTCTAATAATAGCTAAATCATCATATTTTTTTTTTGTTTTATATATATTTTCAATGCAATTATAGTTATAGCTATTACATTCTACTAAATTCTTTATTACATAATCCAAACCATATCCTGGACGAAGATTAACAGGTTTGGATACAGATTTATTATAAATCTTATTAATAATGATTGTATTAGTTATATTTATTAACAAATTGGATTTTGTCAATTTCTAGCATTTTTAGCAATTTATAGCGATTCTTTAACAATCTATATTAAGGAATATTTCGATTCAAATTTATAGCCAAAAAAAAATGTAAATATATACTTTATAGACTTTTATTTTATATCGACACTTTCTTGTATATATTAGTTTTTCTCGCAAGCTCAAAAAACAAAATATAGTAATCCAGTTTTTTCTCACAAGCCTTCACTGAAGTGAAATAACTTTATTTTCTGACTTTAAGCAAGAATTGCGAAAAGACAGTGGTAAATATTAATGTATAAATTTTATTTCCCAATTGTGATCTCAAGAATAGCATTAGGAAAATGGTAAATGAACTACAGTATATAACTAATAAATATATTTAATTGAGTCTATCTACTTGGATGCCTTTTCTTCGTACACATCACATGCAAACTACTATCAGTTATAGATATGTTAAAGATAATCAATTTCTGCATTTCTGAGCTTGCAAGAGTGCAGTAAAAAGTTTTATAAATTAGCTGAGGCATTTTTTTCCTTCTGCTTCTGCCTTGCCTCTATTTCTTTTTGCAAGTTCAATGGTGTGTCAAATCTTAGCTGAATTGCTAGAGAATTATCCTCTGACCTAGTGAGATCAAATACAACAAACTCACCTTTGTAGAGATAGCTATTAATAACTATAGATATGTCCTTTACATCATTAGTATATCGTCCAACAATCTTAGATATATCTGGAATACTGCTACCAGAGTTAAATAATATTAAATGAGTTAAGTTTTCACAAATGAATGTATCAACTTTATAATATTTTTGCGTTATATATATACATGAAATATTTTGGTGATGTTCATTCCCAAAAAACTGACCAATTCGATTTTGTATATGCTTTGGAGCTAAACATAGATCCTTAATAATAATTAACTTGCTTCTTTCAGGTAAGAAAGTTCTTGTACTAGGAATTTTTTCAGAAGGAATATAACTAAAACTAATATTTTTATAGTAAGGTGCTCTTGGGTCTTTTGAAATTATATTATATTTATATCTCATATATGTCTATTTTGGCTTATCAGGATAATACCCGCAAATAATTAGATCATTACATTTAAAGTAGCGAGACCCATCCTTTTTCTCTCTTTGCACATATTCATCCTTATCACCAAGAACAAGATTCACAAGTAAATTAGTCTTACCTGTACCACTTCTTCTAGTAATTAACATGCTAAAAGGCCATGTTATCGCCAGATGGTCAATATTTCGGGATGATTCATATTTTGTAACTTCATTCATATCCAAAAGACGAAGTTTTATTAGAGATATTTCTGTCTTCGAATTTTTCCACATAGTGGGTTGAAATTTTATATCTCTGATTTTTATTAAAGGGAGTTATATATTTTTGAAAAAATTTTTCTTCATTAAGGAGTGATATAAAAAAATATAGATGAGTAAATATGGATTGCAGGAAGTATATGATTAGTAATAGTATTATAAGAAAGATCGCAAACTGAAAAAAGTAAATATCAAATTTCTTATTACTGATAGGTGCTACTGAAGAGCGGTCGGTCTCTATAGAGACCCAGTTGGTTTCAGGGCTAGTATTATTATTACTTTTCTTCTGTTTATTAACACCTAGTTCTTCTAAGACCCCTCTAGCTACTTCAGACTTGCTAGATATTTTTGGGATCTGTTCGGCTAAATAAGCTTTATTTAGGACTGCTTCTTGAAGAAGAGTATCTTTCTCTATTATTGCTCTTTGAGTTGTGACTAAATTATCTTTCATCTGCACTAATTCATCCTTTTTTTTAGCTAATGTATCTTCTAAATCTTTTTTCTCTAGATCTAGGTAAATATTTTTAGTAAATAGTTCTGTGTTTTCCAGTTTTAATTTTCATTTAAAAGAATCCATTTCTGTTAATTCCTTTTGTACTAAAGAAACACCCTGCTCTAATTCTTCTACTCTTGATTGAAGAGCCTATATCTCTTCTAATTTTGTAGCAAGCTCATCTTTGATATTATCAAAGAAAATATCTTTGTAAGTGATCTGATTTCTGAGTTCTTTCACTTCATCTTCAAGCTGACATACATGCTCTAAAAAGCTTTCATTATTTTTTATCAAGAGATTGCATCTAGTACCAAGCTGAATACCCGAGCTCAAAGCAATATCTAAATTATGCTTTGTACAAGTAAGTTGGTTTTCAAGCTTTGTTCAGCTGGGCAAATATTGATTAGATAGCAAATCCCCAAGTTTATTGCCAGACAGAGCTACCCCACTATTTATTTCATTTAGTATATACATATTTGCCATATAATTTTACTTGAAGGTAGATATATTTTTTTTCTTGAAAATTTTTTGGTAAAAAGAATCAGAATCAAATCAATAACAAATCAATAATAAACTAGTTTAATATTTAAACTATATACATTTCAATCCTATTTTTTATTTGGATCATGGTTATAGCAAGCTACGTGATAAGGAAAGCAAATTTCCTATATATATCAAACTAATATCAAACCAATATTATACCAAGACCAAATAGATTGCGAATAAATTTTTTACAAGTTTTTTATTAGTATTATACAAATTTATTATTAACAAATTATAAATAAAAAATTATCAACCTGTACTCATAAATTTCTTAGATCAGATACTACCCGCTTGTCATCTGAAGCTATTGAAGAAATCAGAAATATTCAGAATAATATTCCAGATACTCGACATATTATGTGTAAAAAACATCATATAGGAGCAACACATATCAAAAAATCATTGATAATCAGAGGTCTCCTGAACCAACTGAGGAGTGGCATAGAATCTTAGAATCTGTTAGCATCTCTGATCAGATTTCAGAAAATAACCAAGAATCTTTATAGCTAGTAAGTGCTGAGCATGATACCTCCTCTACTAATATACAAGAAGATGAGGTTGTTTATACAGAGCACCCTAGAGATGATGAAGATAGTGCAAATTTCCATATAAGGCTGAATACAGTAACTAGCAAATGAAAAAATAATGTTAGTCAGAAAAAAAAGGCTAGTACAAAGGCAAAAGACAAATCTTTTCTAGTGGAAAAAAATAGAATAATTAATTCTTCCAAAGATGATACATCAAGATGGGAATCTGATCTTAATAAATTATTAAATATTACTGGAAATATTGTTATGCATCTAATTTTTTCTTCATAAGCTTAGAGTATCTTTTAACTAAAATTTTACTTATATTTAATGCTAAGTCAAGCCATCCCTCAGTTTTTAAGAGACACTTTTCAAGCTCTTTGCACTTTTTTTTACTAGTTAGGCTAGAGGAATTGGTAGATACTTGGATTAAATTATGCGGACCCTCTAGAATCTGCTTCTCTTTTGGTAGATCCTTAGCTACTAGGGTCTTGCTAAATGTTGGGATAGTGTAAGTCTTCCCATGTAACTTTATTTGGAATTGATTTTTATTAGGATCAAGAATACCTTGAACTTTTCGAATCTATATCATACCTAATATAACATTGGTTTGGATTCACTATTATTAATATGAGCAAAATTTCCAGTAGCTGTAACAATCTTATTATCCTTGTTCTTTACACTAATTGGCACATTTTATATCATCCTAATAATTCAGATATATATTTGGAATTACTCTTTATAGCAAAGTCAGAAGGTTTATCAGCTTTCCACCCCAGGGCATTAATTGTTGCATTATTCACTCCCCGAATTCACTTGCGCTATCTAAAAAAGAATTAGTAATCAATAGATCATTTATATTACAATGCAAGTATTGCAATGATGAAAACTACTCATCTAATTTTGATTCTTTCTCCTGAACTATATAAGACTGACACATTTTACACATTGCCAGTAAAAGTTTTGGAAACAGCTCATCATACGTTTCGGGCTAGCTGTATTCTGCTAGTATCTGTTTTTTTTTTCTAGTAGATAATACCCAGTCCATTTATTATTTTCTTCATCATAACCACTATTATTATCTTCTTTATTATCTAAAGCTGGAGGTGTATATTGGGACTGTGTAGATAGAAGTTGGGGATAGTAACATGTAAAATTTGATTTAGCTACAGGTTTTTTGGATTGATTATCAAGCATCATCCTCCCGAATTGAGATGTTATTTGATTGATTTTATCTACTTTCGATTCTATTTTATTTATTCTCATAGATTGGTTTTGTTGAGAGCAAGATTTTTGAAAAGGTTTTATAGGATAATCTGAATCTAATTTATTCTTAGTTATTAAACTTAATTTATTTAAGAATTTAGATATATAATAATTCTGGAGATCTTCTTCTGATTGCAATGATAGTGGTGGACCTCTTGGCTGTCTAACCAGTTCGACAGTTTGTAGAGTTGGTGCCTGTACTTTTTGAGCAACTATTAGCTAGGCCATCTGTGCTTGAAAATCAGCTTCTGATTTTCTAATAAAGACTGGAATTCAGTTTTTTGCTATGCTAATGCATCTTGATATGATTTTTGTATATCTGCTAGCTGTTGAGAAGTTGAAATAGATAAAGGGTCATATATTTCTCAAGATGCTCATTGAGATACTAGCGGATCAGGTATTCTATCTCTTTTATGTCTAGCAATTTATCGTAACTCTATCTCATAAAGCTTTTTAGCTAATTCATCTAATAGCAAATGTTTACCAATATCCTCAGCTTTTTCAAGCCATAAAATAGGAAGGGCATTCAAGAACTTATTACGTAATTCTTCAGGCCTATAGTTAGCTCATCTATCTATTCATAACAATTTTCTATATAATTCATCTATAGTTATATTTCCTTTTCTAATTGTTCCATATTGCAAATCCTAAAGCTCCTTTTCTACTATAAGAAAATGTGTTTTTAGCCACCATATAGCTTAATCAAAATGAATGCTAGCTATAACTACTATAGTACCATTATTAGCATTTGGTGCATTAACAGCAATGTTAGTAGGATGACTACCTGCTATGCACTAATCTTTATTTCAAGGACTCTCTATAGCTCTTAATTTGACTATTGCATTACCAGGTTGGCTGAGTGCCTTATTCAATGCTTGATTTCCTATTTGAACTACTGTTCTCCCATTTGTAGCTACTAAGTTGGCCTGCTCTGTATTATCAAGTAAGTTTGCTAATTCCCAATTCTGTTTTATAGTAATCTCTTTGTCAAACCATTCTAAAGCTCTTTCTTTCATACATCCTCTTAAATATCCTATAGCTACTTCTCTTCTTGTTGGTAGACCTCCCGCATTGTCTGCTGAATCTACACCTTGGTTTTGCAAGTATAATTTAAGTTTTGCAAGGAAATCTAGTATATCTTCACCTCAGTCAAAAAATAGTTGTGGTATTCTTGCCATTCTTATTTGTTGTATATTAGGTGGGTTATTCTGTAGCACAAAAATTTAAAATTAAATTATTTTGGTGCTCCGTATAAGTCTTATTTTTCCATTTCTCATATTGCTCATAGAGTCTGTCTCTATTATATTCTAACAAACCTCTATTGGCTCTGCATTGTTGTAGGTGGTGGGTATTTCGTTGATATAAGATTTGTAAGGCAAATTTTTCCTGTAGTAATACACAAATACAGATTTACTTTCCTGTTATATTGTCTAACATTCTGTTTACTTGATTCTGAGCATTAGTCCGCAACTGATCACGCTCTTGCATTGCTTAATTATGCTCCTGCTTGTATATATCATGATTCCATCATTCGTTTACTAAATCCTGTTGCAGGTTAGCATATTTTCATTAGATTGATCTTGTTGCTCTTTTAATTTGATTTTTTAAAATAGTTGGACATATTGTTGTATCATCTAGGGAGCAGTTTATAGCATCAGCTAATTCAGCTATTGTACCTATATCTAAATTTGATCAAAATTATAAATATCTAAAGAATACTCATCAGAGTTGAATTTATTTTCATTAAAGTTCTGTGCTTCTGCATTTTGCAAAGCCTTTCTGGTATTTATAAGCTCCAATCTATCTCTATATCTTAATAAAGATAATGCAAAATTTTGACAAAGCAGGTCTGTAA